TTTATTCTGTTTTTTATTTGTTTATTTAATCAGATTTTAATTTTGTTTTTGTAACAAAATAAAATCTGTGGTTTTATTTATTTATTTTTTATTTCGAGTTTGATTTTTGTAATCAAACAAATTCTCTCCTTTTTCTCTATTTCTTTTATTCTTGTTGTTGTTTTGTACACAACAGAATTTAATTAATTTAAATACAATGAAGATTGCCTAACAAGATTATCGACTATAGGAGTTAGTTTCTCCACTCGTAATTCTCTATAGGGAGAGTTGAACCTATAAGCTCCTCATTAGGACTAATCCCTTAAAAAAGTCATGATTAAGGGAGTGTTTGGTGGGGATTATACAAGAAACAACTTATTTTAATTTAAGAGTTTGTGGCAAACTATTTAATGCAGCTTCTGTTTATGATTTATTACGTAAAAATAACTTAAATAAGTAGAAAAAGTTAATTTTTTAAAAATAAGAAGGAATATTTTTAATTTCTATTTTATGATTATCAATTTTTAATTTAAAATAATTTTCACCAAACACCCCTACGCCTAGTTGGTTTGAGTCAAACATCATTAACAGTAGGGATGTAATTTTGACCGGCGGGTCATAATAGGGCCTAGGGTCGGGCCGATGGGCTAGGCCTAGTCAGGCCTCTTTTTTTTTGTGTTGAAAAAATGAACGATAAATATATTATCTATGTAGATTATTTATTAGGGATAAAAAATAAAAGAAAAATTATACTAGAGCATTTTAGTTAAGATTAATGAGATGTTTTGTTTGGTTAAGTCTCACGGTGGTATTTAAATTTAATTATGTATGACATATTTTTTTATTTATGAACTTATATCTAAAAAAGTATAAAATTATGTAATTTTTTTTTTCTTTTGAAATGAATAATTTTATTTTATATATATCAAAATGAAACGAAATATTACAATCATTAAATTAAAAAGATAACATTTAATGAATAATTTTTATTTCAAAATGAAATAAAATATTATAAAAATTTATATTATTAAATAAAATAGTTAAAGATTATTGATGATGGTAGAGAAATTACATTATTAAAGTTCAAGTACATCCCAACTAGATTGACACCTACTAACCTATCAATCATTTACATTATACTCCACATCAATAATCTAACAAAAACATTATGAAATAAAATAGTGAAAAAAAATTGTTAATCAATCATTAAAAGAGGTGCTTCTATCACCTAATTAAATCGATTTTTTGAAAGAAAAAAAAAAAATTGGCATGAGAGCGACAAAACAAAACATTGTTGATTGGGGTGTTTCTGTCATCTAATTAAATCGATTTTTTTCATTAATTTTCATAAATTAAATACAAAAAAATTCTTGGTTAACGGAAAGTCATTCAAAAAAAAAAAAAATCCAAAAAAAAGTGTGAAAATTAAAATATGTAGACTATATTAGTTTAATTTTGACCTTATCATACTATCATTAAATTTATCTCACAAATTCATTTTAGCTTAGAAGACGTAACCTCTATGAAAGTTACTATGTGACATTGTTACGTGGTGTTTTCTACTAATAAAAATTGTAATACACATTAAATGAATTATCATTTATGTGTTAATTAGTTAACAAAGATGAATCAGCATAGTTCACCCATGAAATTTTTCGCTACATAATTGATATGGAATACTGCATAGACAATGACAATCCAACACTTTTTTTTTTTTGAACCACATTTCCACACCTTAATCCCATCAAACAAATGACCCTAAGGTGTTATGAAATTAATGAACAATTTATTCCCACCCTATGTATCCATCTTTAATCTTGAAATAAAAACAAAATTTAAGATTCCGAATAATACCAAATTGGGTCAACTCAGATCTAAACATTAGTCGGATCAAGTGATTTACACCAACCAATTCTTGAGGTTTTGGTAACACTCAACGTTGTGTTCATTTGGAAGATTTAGGAAGCAATTTGAAAAGTAAAATAAAAAAGATAGATAAATATGAATAAAATATACCTACATTTCACGCATATTTTCCCTACTAAACACAACATAAGAGTCTCATGAATTCATCAATATTTGCCTAGTTATTTCCCTTACACTATGTTTAGTTGGAGGAATTGAGTAGGGATTTAGAAAGGAAAAGGAAAAAGATATATAAAACTAGGTGAAATATTCACCTATCTTCTTTTTCTTCTTTTTTTAAATTTCTTTTCAAATCTTCTAACCAAACACAACGTTACTATAACAAAGTAAGCTACCCTTCTCCTTGTAAATTATCGATCTTAAAGTAAAGTGTGTGCAACCTAAGAATTGCACACTTTATGATACACCATTTTTAAAGATGTATATATTAGAATTTCCCCACACTAAACTCTCCAAAGCAATCCCCATAGTAATAATCTTCAGTCTGTGTCTTTTCTATTCACTTGTTATTCTGAAATAATTGAAAAAGAGATGTCAGGTCCTATTGAGTGTAATTTCAGTATGTCCTCTGATGCCGCCATCATACCCAACAACCACCACTTGTTGCCCTCAGATACCTTCTTTCAAGTCCACATTGGTCGAGTTCTTAATCATCGCAAGCGAGAAGAAGACAATTCATTCGAACCACAAGGTGACATGGTGGTGAAATCATTCTGGGTTCGTCAAAGTGGGTTGCAATTGTATTATAGTCTATTTTTGGACTTTGATTTCTTGATTCAAATGGTTAATTGAATCAAATTTTATCAAACTGAATGAATGCAGAGTATTGTTGTAAAAATTAAGATGGTAAACATGATTGGAATTGTTTGTTAATTAGTATTATTATTATGTAACTCCAGTTCTTTAATTTCGTAAAAGCTTTGGGATCACGTGTAATGAGATTGCATTCCCCTAGAGTGAGAACAAGACTGTTCTGTAATTTTTAAGTAAACAGTTTTGTTACAGTCTTACTAATCTATAAAAATTATTTAAAATATATAATCTATTTATTTGAAAATAATATTGTTTCGATTATTATATTAATTTAATTTTTATATGAATATTTTATATAAAAACCTCAATGTATATAGATATAGATTAATTCATGCGATGGACAGCCTGAAAGAGGACTTTATAGTCAAGATATGATACTTTGAGAGTGTGCTCCCTTCAATGAATAGGTGACATAACAAACCAAAAAAAAAAAAAAATGGACCTAATAGACAATCTGAAGGATTTTATAGTCAAGACTTGGTACTTGAGAGATGTGTTCTCTTCAAGGTGGCTTTAACTGGCTTCCTTTCGGTGGATAGGCTGGATACCTAGTTATTAAAAATGAAAAAATAAATTTTATCAAATGATAGAGGGAGTTTGGTTGTATTTGGTAGAGTTTTAAATTATAATTTGATAATAGAGTTATATCTTAAGTTTGTAAATTTTGGAATTATGATTTGAAAAGAAAAAATTTGTTTAATTATGAGTTTTGAAAAGATTTTTGAATTGAATTTTAAATTTTTGATGTGACGTATGAAATGAGAAAATTTGTTTTGTTATGAGTTTTGAAAAGAATTTTTGGAACTTAATTCAAAAAGTTATAACACAACCAAACACACAACTCAAAACTTTATTAAAAATTTTATTCAAAACTCATAACCAAACTCTTTTTAAAATTCAATTTAAAAAAATAATTTGTCATTTTAGTTTAAAAAATAATTTCTATATTTACAAAAAAAAATATACTATTCCGGTCAACCAACCGAATACCCAGAAGGATACTGCCTTTGATTTGCACATAGATTCTGTTTAGGTCAGCAAACCAACTAGACTGCCGTGGTTTGACAATTGGACTAATTTGACTTTTTTATTATTGGTTTAGATTAATCATAAAAATGTTAAAAAATTAATAAAATAAAAATTAATATATAAACCATATTCACTTTATTATTTTTTTTTATAAAAGCTAAAAAAATTAAAAAAAAATTCAATCCAAATAAATTTTTTAATCTCAGATTAAAATAATAAAAAAAATAAAAAAGTCAACCACTTTCCAAAGGAAGCTAATTTATTTGGTAGAATCCTTCCATCACATTATTCATATAACAAATCAAATTAATTAAACAATTATTGTCAAATGTTCATATCACATCTATATTTATCTATTTTTTTAAAAAAAAATATTTTCAATTAATTAAAAATAAATATATTCATTATTATTTAATCTCATACATATAACACGAGTTATATACCTTAATTTGTATTGATATATGATTTAGATTTATATAAAATATTTGCGGCTGAATTTTTACGATAGTATTAATAGGTTTGCTGAGGTAGAAAGTGAGGATTTTCATTAACTGGGCATATATTTAGGAGTTTTTTTTGATTGATTCGATATAAAATAACCATAATAAAAAGGGTGCTATTTAAGTGTGCAACCCCCTTAAGGTTGCACACCATATGCAATCCAATTTTTAGCTATTAGATTACAATAATTGATCAAGACCATTGAATTGTTTAATCGTGAAAAAGTTGAAATCGGGGCAACTGGTTAATGCTTGTATTTACATGATTACATCCCACTCACTCTCTCTATTTCGTCTCTATCTCTCTCTGTTCTCCTCTCTGTGTAAGGTTGAGTCAGTGTAACCCTTGATTTCCATTAACAGCGAGAAGTCCCTGCTGGGTTCCATTGACAAAGCTTTGTAGGGAACAGTATAACGGGCAATTTTCAACAACAACAAAACTATAAGGCTGTGTTGGTTCCATTGCTGAAGTGAAAGTCTTCTCTCCAACTAGATATGAGGTATGGAGCTGTCTCCCTCTCTCTTTAGCCTTTTCACTTCAGCTATTTTCCCTCAACTAAACCCCCATCCTAACTTCAACTGCTCTACGATTCGCTCAAATGGAAACCCTTCCATTGGCAACTAACCTTTCTCTTTCTCAAGTGAGTGTTTGTGTTTGAACAAACAATTAAACCGTGTGAAAATGTCATGTTTGTGTTTGTGTTAACATTTTTTGGTCATCAAGTAATTGTTTGTACTAATGTCATGTGCAGTATGGCCCCAGCGGAAGTTAAAAGGGAAGGTGATGATTATGACATTCCAAGTGAAGCAAATGACATTCGTTTGATCAATGAAAGTTGGGCAGAACCTTATCATGGTTGCGAAGCTGGTCCAAGCAATGAAGAAGCAACCAACATGAACGTTGAAGATGGCAGAGCCGATGTGAAGCAAGAAATGGTTGACGATGCTCATCGCAATGACATGGTTGGTGATGTTGAATATGCTATTCTGGAACATAAATTTGATTCGGTCGAAGATGGAGAAGCTTTCTACAATGCGTATGCTAAAGCCAAAGGATTTAGTATACGAAAATCCAGATTTAATACAAATAAAGAGGGAAAGGTTGTTAGTAGGCTGTGGTTGTGTTCAAGGGAAGGTCAGAGATTACCAAAATACTTGGACCATGTTGCTGAAAAGAGTAAAGCTCCCAAGGCACTAACAAGAGTAGGTTGCAAAGCTCAATTTCGCATACGGTACGATATAAATGCTGGTGAAGGGGGAAAGTATGTTGTGACTCACTTCGTCGCAGACCACAACCATGAATTGGCAGAACAACACTGTGTGATGTATCTGAGGTCACATCGCAGTTTAAACAACGCTGACAAAGCTCAAGCAATGGCTATGCGCAACGTCGGTGTGAAGACTAGCAAAATCATGGACTATATGGTAAATCAATCCGGGTCTTATGAGAATGTTAATTTCATCGGTACGGATCTGCACAACCATATTCAAGCCGAACGTAGAGCAGAAGTTGATGATGGTGATGCGCAGGATGCGTTGGTTTACCTATGTGCAAAACTTGATGTTGACGTACGTTTTTTTTACAAGAATGATGTGTGTAAGGATAACAAGTTACAAAATATGTTCTGGGCAGATTCGAAATCGCGGGTTGACTGTGCAAAGTTTGGTGATGTGTTGATATTTGACTCAACTTACAGAACCAATGCGTACAAGAAACCTTTTGTCATGTTGGCTGGTGTGACTAACCACTTTAGGACTACGATATTTGCATGTGTTTTGCTAGGTAATGAGACAATTGATACATACACATGGGTTTTGGAAACATTTATGGAGGCGATGGGCAATAAAGCATCTGTGTCCGTACTGACAGATGGGATAAGGCGATGCGAGAGGCAATCAGAAGAGTATTTCCAAACGCAAGACATCGATTATGTAATTGGCATCTTGGGAAAAATGATGTTTCAAATGTTCACAAAAGTGGCTTTGCACATGCTTTCAAGCAATGCATGGACATGGAAACGGATAAGGCAAAGTTTGAGCATGGCTGGACGAGAATGATCGAAAAATTTGGACTTCAAACCAACAGCTGGGTGTTGGAGACATATGAGAAGTGTCATATGTGGGCTGAGGCATATATGCATGGACTTTCTTTGCTGGGATGAAGAGCACTCAGCGCTCGGAGAGTATGAATGCTTATTTCAATCCCTTCCTCCAACACAAATTGAAGCTATATGAATTTGTTAGGCATTATGATCGGGCTCTTGCAAAGATAAGGTATAACGAAGCTGGAGATGATGCTGAAACAAATAACACTTTTCCGGTATTGATTACTCCATTGTAAGATGTAGAAAGACATGGAGCTGAGCTATGCACCCGAAATATATTTAGAATGTTCTGTGATGAAATCTTAGAAGCAGGGAAGTCGAATATCAAGGACGTGTTCCCTTTGCCGGATGGTCAGAAATGCTACTATATTCATAAGTACAAGGTAAAGGATAGATCATGGATAGTAACACACAATCCAGTGGATGTTGCAATGAGATGTTCTTGCATGAAGTTTGAGTCGTTGGGGCTACCTTGCTGTCACATGATGTGTTATGAAAGCCGAAAATTTAACGCAAATTCTCCCAATTTGTGTGCTGCATAGATGGACAAGGGCTGCAAGCAAGGATGGCCAGCAATGGCCTCAACTCTCAATTGATAGCACTATAACATAGGCCCGGTATGGGATATTGAGTTATTCCTACAATGAAATATGTTTCTATGCCTCACAATCAACTGAAGGTTTCAAAGAGGCTAGGGATGCATGTCTTCCGATGACGAGCCGGATGAATGAGTTATATGAGAGGAATCTGAACGATGGGGATGGAGACAAAGGGAAACATTCAATCCCACGACAATTTGGAGTAGAAGATCCTGATCTTGTGAAGACAAAAGGGAACCCAGGACGGGCCCCGTCCAATTGTCGAAGACCAAGAAAATGTGGGAATTGCAAATGCATTGGGCACACAAAGCGAACGTGTCCTAAGGTTCGGTTTAGCCGAACAGTGGATAATAACTCAGATGCAGATACAACCCACATCATTGACTGTGAGTACAATGCAGAGTCATTGCCCATTCGTTGCAAAACCGGGTTGGTAGATCCAAGTACACCTCACATTAAGCAACGATGACTATTTTTCGATGTTTCTCCTAATTCCAAACAGCCTGTGGGCCAATACGGTAGTGTCGAAGCAGCAATGTGCAAAAATGATTCGACCACAATTGATGAGGTGAATCAAGTAATTGTATAATTTGTATGATTTATTTATTCCCTTAATTTATTAGGTAGACAGTACTAGCTATTGAAAACACATCATTGCGAAGAACAAGGTAGATATGTATGTAGTTTTCATTTTGCACGGATTGCTGTATGTAACGTATAAATAATTGGTTACGTACAATGCCAGGAAATGACATAATGTTACTTATGTACAAGGCCACGATTTGTAAATTTCCTATATTGTTTAGAGTGATGCTGTCATTTGTGTTTGCAGTGACTTGTCATTTTGAAAACTAATTGAAGGTGAGATATATATAGGTTGTCTGTGTATTGTTTTGGGTTAGAAATTGGCTTATGCCTGTATTCCAAGATTCTTATTGCGGGTTGCTTGTTTCTGTTCCATATTTGGTTGGATCTAACTGAAAGGTTTTTTGCAGTGTGGTTTATCAACTAACGACGTGTTTGGCTTCGTATTGATTTGTTATGACTTGTTTCGGTGAATTAGTATTATATTTCAAGAAAATACGAATTTTGTCCATGTGGTTTTGCAAAATTACATCCCAACACCTGCATTTTGTATATAATCCAAGTGGCAGTTAATTTTTGGTGTTACTTGGAGAAAGTAACCCAACGAACTCGTTTACTTCATCTCTATGCCGATTGCTATATGAATTACAAGTTACGAACAGGAGTTGTGAAATTATTTCATGTTAACTATGAAAGTGATGGGTTTATTGTTAGTGAAATTATGGTGGGCTTATATCGACAGCAATCAAGCAGTAATTTAAAGTTGACAAGTAAAAGAGAAAATCAAGCAGTTGTGGTATTGGTTCGAATGCCTAAAAAGGATGAAAACTTCTTTCGATGAACTGAAAAAACAAACTAAACAAGTAAAATGAACTTCCTGATATAAGCTGATGGTAACAAATCGTAGAAGATAAACCTTTGCTGATTTGAGGTTGAAATCACCAAAATTCACCCAGTGACAAAGTACAAATGAGAAGGGAAAAACCTACTCAGAAGTTACAATGTAGAAAGTAAGTTGTTGTGTTGTTGTTCATGTCCTCTCTCTGTGCAAACCTTCTGCCCTTTATAGCTCTTATTTCCCACGACCCCATGATCTGTCGAATTTGCAACTGCTTCTGTGCAACTTCTGTAACTGCACGGTCATGTCCATGTCTTGAAACCATAAAAACCTTCACTTGTACCTGTCGAAGTGCATATCATTGAAGTTGCCACCTGTGCCCAAGTCCTTTTAGCCTTTCCTCGACAGATACAGACTCCCAATTCGTTCATGTTTCCTCTTGGAGGCTGGCCACTAAATCCATGAGCACTGCCAGTAACTGCTCCACCGTGTAAGTCAGGTGGCATGCAAGATTCAATGTTAGTTGATAACCCTTGTCTTCAGGTGGACTTGCTATGTGTCCTCAATCGAATGGAGCAGCCGTTGGCAGGATGTGGGAAAAATAGGTGCAAAGAGGAATTTTTTAAAAATAACCAATCATAATTTAGCTGAAAATATGAGCGAACTTTTTGTTTGAAAAAAAGTAGTTTCCATTTTTATGGGTTCAGTGGCCCAGTTTGCAAGGATTGTGGTTGTGTTTAGTGGACAATATTCTGTCAATTTTTGTCTCATAATGATGAGGGACATGCCCCACAATGGTGAGGAGGAAGGTCGACAGGGAAGAGTCAATATTTGGCAGAGGGGACTTGAAGATTCGAAGTGAGGGGGCAGTTACAGTGGCAGTTATGGTGTAGACGTATGAGATCATACAATGATGGGCCACAAAAACAGTATACGGATATCAAAACCCACGATCTCCCGTCTAGGCTTTCCAAGTATACTAAACCTCCACTTTTATCTGTCAATCTCCCATTTCTTCTGTTTATTTCATGGCCACCAACTGTTTAAAACTTCTGTCGACAGAGCAAGGCTCTTGCTTTGTCTCATGCTTCCTCCTGAAAGTGTGCCCACTAACTCCATGACTGGTGCTAAAAACTGCCCCCATCACTTGTAGATGACCCACATGCAGAGAACCCACTTTCAACTGGTGGACATTCCTTCAGACTTGGCCACGTGTCCTCCATTAAGTGGACCATCTGGGGAAGTGATTGAGACCCCCTCCAATCACCACCCCGACCACCCCCCACACACAAGTGGGGGCTGGTGATTGGAGGAGAAGGGAAAAAAAAAACTGGCCAATCAGAAAGAGAGGGGGTCATAGGGGTGCCCCCCTTGTGGGGGTCTAAGTCATATGATATTTAACTTGAACAAGGGGCCCACCGTTTGGGCCCAATTTGGACTTAACCCAGAGATTTATTTCCCTGAGCCCAAGAGATAAGTCCAATAGCAAATTTCTTAATACGGGCCCAAAACAAAAATAAACTACAGCCTAATATAAGAGCATTTAAATATACTGGCCCCATCATAAGCTATAAAAGACCCACATTTTCAACTTCAAACCACTTCATTTCCCTCTGATTCGAACTCCTCAGATTGTACTTCTTCTTATCAAGCATTGTCGTTCAAAACCACAGCACCACAAAACCCTAAGCCATAGCGCCCAAAAAATCTCAACCATCTCCATCTGAGGAGAACAATGAAGACCTACTCCGCTTCCCAGACCCTATCAGAGCACGTATCGCTCCTCTAAAATTAGGTATTACCCTATTGCCCAGCATAAGCTCTGTCGCTAAGGCTACTCTAGGTCCTACCTTCATGTCTTACTTTCTAGACGAGCTAGCTCCATACTATCCCCTTGGTAATGGTGAGAACCTTCTTCTCAACCAACCTAGACTTAAGTGAACTAACTGGAATGTTAGCAAAAACCCAGTCAAAGGATGGAGGTCACCAGACTCTATTTGGCAAAGCTGGGCCAGGAGAATTGAAGGTCATGACTCTGAAGTATGGAAGCACCAGGGCATCAATGAAACAATTAGACTGTCGACCAAGAAATATGACATGGACAAAGGGCTGATTGTTGCTGCTGCATGCTTTTGGTCGCAATCTTGTAACTCCCTTCTCCTTAATTTTGGTATGATTTCCCTTACCATCTTAGATGTAGCTCACTTGACTGGTCTCCCAATCTTGGGCAATGAAATTCATGCTCTCCTTGAGCTTCCAAAAGCAACCTTTACTTTAAACACTGACATGAGCTATACAGATTTCACCCAGAAATACAAAGGCAAGCAAGGTTCCCTTGTAAAGGACCAAGAAAGAACTACTTTTTATTTACTTTAGCTTTGTCAGTTTCTTTTTTGTGTCCCTGGGTTCAAGATCACCAAGGAGTACCTCCCCCTTGCCTTGTGTATGCAAGATGGCCAAGCTATGGCTTTAGCCCCTTATCTTCTTGCCACCCTTTACAAGGCCCTATTTTCCTTTGTCGACAAGAAGATTTCTGGCAACGGTGGTGGACCCTTCTGGCTCTTCCGGGCTTGGTTGTATGCCTATTTCCTTGAGGCACGACCCCCACCACCTAACACCTTGAAACCAGTTTTCCACTCCTATGTTAAACAATTGCTCACTTATAACAGCCAACCCATCCTCACTTTCAGAAATCATCTAACAGCAAATTTTTATCTCAGTTCAGTTCAGTTCAGGATTGTTCTGTTCAGTTCTATTTCTACATTTTTACTGTTACTCGCTCTTGTGGAGGACGATCATGTCCTCTTTTTAAGTTGTTAACTTTAGCCAGCCCTTTTTCGATTAATTTGTGTTTTTTCTGTTTTGTTTCTAGTCTAGATTTTGCAAGGGCCCTGGATTGTATTGGATAGTTATTTAAATTATTTGTTATTATCAGTGTCTTTAACTTGTTTGCTCGCAATTCAGTTCTATTTTTGTTTGAATACCGTGAATCAGAGACTTGATAGGTAGGATTGTTCTGTTCAGTTCTATTTCTAGATTTTTATTTTTATGATGATTGTTTTAGCTGGTCTTGCATGGAAGGATTGATTGGTAGGCAGTGGCTTTTATAGTTCCAACTTCAGGATCTAACAGCAAATTTGAAGCAAGATTGTATAGGAGCAATTCAGTTCTCTGGAGGGCTTTCCTAGCAGTCTCCCTAAGGTATCATATTTCTTTGGTTTCATTTGCGCTTTATAAAGACTGATGGTTGACAATTGCATTTGCTGTTAGATCCTTTCAGCGGATCCTGCCTCAACAGCTGAGAATTGGGGTTAGGTCCTACAGAATACTGTCATGTCTGTGCTTGGAAATTCTGACCTGATTGAATAAGGGTTTCTTTTTCTTCTGACCCGAGGCTTTTCACATTTTAAACAAGATTACATAACAGCAGCTGCATTTTTTTACTAGATTTTGAAAATTGATAACACGATTTAATTTAGTTCATTATTGATGGAAAAATATATAGACCCATCTTTTCTCTTTTTTGTCTCCTTCAAAGACACCATCTATTGTCTAAAGTTAATGATAAAATAATAATTTATTTGAAAATGGCTCAGAAGAGGATATCAGGTTGAACTTGTCTGTACTTGTCTTTGTAAAGTAATTAGAAGAATTAGGTTTTATAAATATCTATTGAAGTTTGTTAGCGTGTCATAATGTGTTATAGTACTATGTTACCGCCAAACATTGTGTTTCATACCGATGGTTGTATTTATTGGTTCTATTCTGTGTGCAGATCACTTCGACCACTGAGAACCGAGGGTTAGATTCTGCAAAATAGTGTGATTTGATATTTGAATAATGGTAAACACCATATCTTTGGTTTTCTCCTGTAACATGCTAAACTTCTTTACATTTGAAACTGAATTTCACTGATTTTAGTTGATGAGGAAAGTACAAATATGTCATACTTTTCCTTCTGAGGATCATTAAATCTGTATAAAGTTATCTGATATGAATTCTAAACTAACTGTCCTCTTCCACCTTATCCAGCTTAAAATTTCTATTAACAAGATGAAATTCTTTGATCTGTTTTTTCAGAACAAATATAGGGGTGGTTTGGGATGTCCTAAATAAGTGCACTTTTTGATTTTTTTATGAAATATGGGTTGGGTTTGAAGTGATGTGGTAGAGAAGTGAGGTGACTTAAATAAGATGATGTGACTTAAATAGGATAGTGACTTTTTGACTTTTTAGATTTTTTAGTTTATGCCAAACAAGATCTTAGTTTCCCAGAAGTTGATTTTTCAAAATTACGGCCATTTTTTTTGGTTCTAACTGTAATAAAATTCTTATTTCAAATTTTGTCACTTTGGCCAACTTATAAGTGAAACAAGAATGTCATTAGTGCTGAGAATTTTTTTTTTTTTAATGTTAGTGTATTTTTTGAAGCTGAGAAAAATCTCATTAGCGTCTTTCTCATGAGAATTTGGAATAAGTAGTGTGGTTGTGGAGCTGAGAAAAATGGGAAAGTTGAGAGCTTATTTCTTTAGGTTCTCTCTTTAGGTAGTGTTTGGTTCATTGGAATGGAATGGTCATTCATTCCATCAAAATATATATTCCTATGTTTGGTTGACTAAAAAAATAAAGAAAAATGCATTACAATTGGAATCGTCATTCACCATTGTAAAGGAATGATCATTCCATAGGTGAGCTTAAGGAATGATCATTCCATTCCATTCCATTCCATCTAATTCCTATGAACAAAATGGAGCATTAGGGTTTCCACATTTGATCCTCCCCTTTCCCCCCAATTTCTCTCAACTTCCATTGCTAGAGGAGCTCAGGAAAACAGTTTCAGTTGTGAATTGAGATACCAATTTTGTCTTTCGTGTCTCACAAATAGGTTGCTTCAAAACTTCTATTTTAGACCTTTTAAACACTAGTTGAAGACCAAAAAATATTCTCTAGCCCATATTCCCGGGTGTACCCTACATCCCATGTCCTGTAATTTGCGAAACTTTAAAATTACCTGACTAGTTAAACCTATTAAAAAGACATTAGATCCATCCAATTACATAATAAATTGAAATAAACACAAATGAAATCCTCCAATTGTGTGGAGAGCTTGATAACAAGAATAAACATGTTCTGTTACTAATCAACAGATGGATCGGTTCACTGCAAATAAAATGCAACAGATGTTATAGATCACATATGGATCAGTTTGCTGACAGCGACAGAGGAGATAGAATTGATGCAAGTTATTAGTTCAAACCTAGAAACCTAAAGGCCTCTTGATCTTGAGCAGATAGTAACCACCAATAAAATCAGCCTCACTAAAATTTGTGTGGAAGTTAATTCAAATACACTTTTGGTGATAGTGTAGTAGTAAAAGGTAAATATCAATGGGGACCCCTTGTCTGAATAAAATGCCAAACCTTTGGGCATATTGAGATAAATTCACGAAGGCAGTATTGAAGTGGTGGAAACTAAGAGTGTTGATTGGAGAGAGCTCCTGTAATAAGGGTGGTGTTAAGTCGGTGGGACATGAGAAGTGCTCCTCCATCTAGGGAAGAAAACATAAAGGAAGCCTGGAAAACAAGATCCACAACCTGAGTTTATCTGGAGAGAGTTATTGCATACCTTTACATCCAGCCCAAGAAATCATGCCGAAAACCTTTAAATAAATCCAGTAGGTCAAAGAATGGGGGTTAGTTTTTGTTTAGTTTGTTTGTTGTTTTACCTACGCTCTGGAGTTGTGACAGTTGTTTATTTGCCTTTACTTTTGAGTTTTCAAGTGTGTGTATGTTTTGTGCCTACCCTTTTGGGCTTGTAAGAGGATGCCCTAAAGAAATGCTGTAATTTACTACAATGACTAATGGTGTAATTTTTACCCTAGACAAAATGGTGCTGCCATAGGGTCTGAATTGAAGAGAATGATCCAAATGACCTCATTACAAACCTGATTTCCAAATTAATACAAAAGAGAAGAGAAAGTTCCAACTCTCTAATGAAGGTTCATATGTGAAAATAATGAAAATATGAAATTTTTTGAAGACATTGGCAAATTCAAATAAGAAAATCCAAGCATTTACCCAATAGGCGAAATTCAGTCTATGTATCTCAAAAACTAGATCAAGGAATAAAATTACCTGGGATTAAATTCATAGCATGCAGCAAAAAGAACTATAAACGCAAGCTTATTATTGTATTCCATATGTGAAAAGCACTAATTAGCAAGGTAATGGACTAGCCTTCTGAGGGGTTTAAAACTGACCCCAAGCCAGCAACTAAAATGAGGGAAAGCATTAGCATAGTATAATTATGCCCAAGAAGGGGGAGGGGAGGATATGGACCAGGTTTTTGGCTATGTTAGGATAGTTTTAGATAGGTTGGCTACTTTTAAAAATGAGGTTTAGTTGCTTGTTTTTCATGCCTGTTCTCATATTTTTCTGTTGTCTTGTATGCTTGGAATTCAATGTGGTTCAATGTAGTTACAGGGAGACATGCATGAAACAATTAGGATACATCAATTTGGTAAATTCGAGTTTGTTACATAAAACCAAAATTTGGGGGCTGTTTTATTATTAGAAGGTTGATGATACGTGCATCTCATCGAAGTAGAGCTAATCCCAGTTGGGTTCATAGGAAATTTCAACACTTGGAGGTTATTGAATGGTTGTTTCTTCTGCCAAAACTCTAGAAACATGTCCTGAGAATTTTAGAGAGAGAGAGAGAGAGAGAGAGCGGTAATTTCTAATGACTAAATGACAAACATCCATTTACTGGGGACATCAAAGGAAATGGTATTTTAAAGTTTAGAAAGATCGTTCTCAGTGATATGGATTAAGGGGGTTCTTGCATTTCTATATGTTGTTCTTGAGGAAGATGTATGAGATTCTTCAAGGAAAAAAATAAAAAGAAAACGGTACCTGCCTATAAATTATCTTCAATGGCTCAAGAAATTTATTTTTAACTTTTAAAATTTTGTTACTCAACAAGGAGAGTGTATGCAACTAGAATGGCTAACCAAATGAGTACCACAGTGAAAAAAAAGGAAATCCATGAACTAAAAAACTGCTTAAAGACTAGAAAGAGAAAGGAAAGCAAGGTCAAATAATAAGCCAGTTTGGAATGGAGAAACAAATTCAAGGTGCCTTGTGTCTTGATTTCTGTAATTTCATTTTTTGTGATAACTAATAAAAATGAGCAAAACAAACCCTAATGGCTGGTTTTCAAGGCATGCATCAAGCTGCTAACAAGTCAGCAGCAGGCTTCAAATAGATCTAATAGTGGGAGCATTAAATTTTTTCTACTAGTTTTATTTCCAGTAAACTGCAATCAGGATCAAGAAGTGACAAATCAAATAAAAATAAAATCCATTTATGATAAACAAATCCATACCTAACTGCTCATGCAAGGGCTTTTGGACTCCCATATGTAATCGTATTGCTTCAGTGAGCTCAATACCCCTGCCCACATATAAGTTAAGTTGCATCAAGAGGCAAAAAGCTTCGAAGGCATTGAGAGAGAGAGAGAGAGTGTGTATGTGTTTGTGCGCCAAAATCCTTTTAAAAAAAAATAAAACAAAAAACATAAAACGAGCTAATACTTGTCATAAAAAATGCACACGTGCCGATGCAAATGAGGTAGATGTGCCGATGAGAACGAGGCACACATGCCGATGCAAATAAGGCACACGTGCCGATGAGAATGAGGCACACGTGCCGATGGGAATGAGGCACACGTGCCGAAGGGAATGAGGCACACGTGCCGATGCAAATGAGGTAGATGTGCCGATGAGAACGAGGCACACATGCCGATGCAAATAAGGCACACGTGCCGATGAGAATGAGGCACACGTGCCGATGGGAATGAGGCACACGTGCCGAAGGGAATGAGGCACACGTGCCGATGCAAATGAGGTAGATGTGCCGATGAGAACGAGGCACACATGCCGATGCAAATAAGGCACACGTGCCGATGAGAATGAGGCACACGTGCCGATGGGAATGAGGCACACGTGCCGAAGGGAATGAGGCACACGTGCCGATGCAAATGAGGTAGATGTGCCGATGAGAACGAGGCACACATGCCGATGCAAATAAGGCACACGTGCCGATGAGAATGAGGCACACGTGCCGATGGGAATGAGGCACACGTGCCGAAGGGAATGAGGCACACGTGCCGATGCAAATGAGGTAGATGTGCCGATGAGAACGAGGCACACATGCCGATGCAAATAAGGCACACGTGCCGATGAGAATGAGGCACACGTGCCGATGGGAATGAGGCACACGTGCCGAAGGGAATGAGGCACACGTGCCGATGCAAATGAGGTAGATGTGCCGATGAGAACGAGGCACACATGCCGATGCAAATAAGGCACACGTGCCGATGAGAATGAGGCACACGTGCCGATGGGAATGAGGCACACGTGCCGAAGGGAATGAGGCACACGTGCCGATGCAAATGAGGTAGATGTGCCGATGAGAACGAGGCACACATGCCGATGCAAATAAGGCACACGTGCCGATGAGAATGAGGCACACGTGCCGATGGGAATGAGGCACACGTGCCGAAGGGAATGAGGCACACGTGCCGATGCAAATGAGGTAGATGTGCCGATGAGAACGAGGCACACATGCCGATGCAAATAAGGCACACGTGCCGATGAGAATGAGGCACACGTGCCGATGGGAATGAGGCACACGTGCCGAAGGGAATGAGGCACACGTGCCGATGCAAATGAGGTAGATGTGCCGATGAGAACGAGGCACACATGCCGATGCAAATAAGGCACACGTGCCGATGAGAATGAGGCACACGTGCCGATGGGAATGAGGCACACGTGCCGAAGGG